CGGTGGACCAGTGAATGCATCTTCCTGGTCCCAACCCATCTTGTGCGGGTTTGTTGGTTGCTGTGCCCTTGTCTCAGGGTGACAGTTGCCTCTTTTGCCTCCGTTGTGCTGCCTGTTGGGTCACTGACACTTTGACCCGGAGTCTTGCGAGTTGTGTTCTCTGCTTGTTCTCCAGTACTATTCTGATGTCCTTACTGTTAAGAGTACAGGAGGCATCCGCGTTGCATGCTCGGTTTAGGTTGCTGCAACGTGCTAGGTTGGTTTCCCACCCGGATGCCCCAGGGCTGCCCCGTTTTGGTTAGGTGTTGTTCACCCCTTCCCCCTCCCTGTTCCCGGCTCCAGACCATCAGGGGTTGGGGCGGGTGTTTAGTTGGTGCCGAGACTCGGGCAGCTTCGGGAGCTGCCCCGTTCAGGTTGGGGACGGAGGCTTTCGAGCCTGCTCCTCCAGCAGAGACTTCTGGGTCTTACCAGTGGAACTTACTTTGCTGCCTTTCCCCTGGACTCTTTATTTTCTTTAAGGGCAGAGGGCGAGGAGGATGGCTCTGCCCCGGGGCCTATGTTGCGGGTTCCCGGGGCTGTGGGGGGTGCCCGCTAGCAGTTATGGAACTGTTTGCCCTTGCCTGGGATTTTCTGCTTTCTGGACAGTTTTTTTCGTCCCTCTCCTGTGTTTACTTCCCACATTTGCTGGTGTGTTTTCTAATCTCTTGCGTCGGTCGTGTCTCCTTTTGTTATGGTGGCCATTTTCTTTCTGCGGGTTGATTCCCCGCCTGGCCGCAGGGGCGGCGCTGTGATTTGTTTACCTGTGCCTGGGTGTGCGAGTTTGTGTTTTGGGGGAGTTTTTCACCTCCTTCAGGGGTTTTATCCTCCTGTTGCCATTTCTTTGCTTTTTCTAAGGTGTTCTGGCCGTCTTCTGTTACTCTGGGAACGCTTGGGTGGTGGTTTTTACACCGGTTTTTGCGTTTTCTGTCTGTTTCGGTCTGGGACCTGGGGTTTGGGCCCAGTATCCCTGTCAGTTTATGCTTTTTCCCACGCCTTATGTCCCTCAGTTTTCGGTCTGTTTTGGCCGTTTTACTGGGGGGTTCTGTCTGGATGCTGTGCTTTGCTCTTTCTGTGGTGCATTTCCGCCAGCAAATGTGGTGGTTTGGGCTCCCCCAGGTTCAATTCTGGGTTACTTTAGATTCTTTGGTTTCGTTCCGGAGGTTTCTTTCTCTTGGGCCCCCCCTTTGAGGGGCTCAGGAGGCCTTTGGCTACCTCGTGTGTGACTTGATTCTGCCTTCTGGGGTTCCGGGGTCTTCCTGGCTTACAGACTGCTCTTTTTGGGTCTTGGCACATGTTGGGGTTGTGCGGGGCCTTGGTTTTTGTTGTCAAGGTGGGCCTTTAGTCCGGCTTTTGTGCTCTTTCGATGCCTTCTTAGTCTGGGCGGCGCTGTGCTCTGCCTGCCGGTCGGCTGCTTGTCTTTCTTTTCTTCATATATTTTTCTAAGGGGACCCTCCTGCGACTCCCCAGAGCTTACTAGGCTGATATGCTAATGTCAGACTTTGGCATCAGTTATGTGAATGGAGCTCTATATATGTATTGCACGGTTTGGTAAACTTACTCCCATCATCTATACATGTCTTGTGCGCCCTAAGGGTTAAAAGAGAAAACCAAATTTTTTAATTTTTTTTTTATAAGCCTGTAGGTGACAAAGGCTAAATAGCCCGGAGCAGCTCATGGGTTAATTATCTTAATTAACACTTTGGCGTGCCCCGCCCGCCACCCCTCAACTGTGCGATTTGGGTCCCAGCCTTTCACGGGAGCGAGCGTTAATTCTGAAAAGTGTATACTCTCTTCAACTTTGTCACTTTAATTCTCGTTCTACGAGATTAAATTTGGTATCATTGTGTTCGCAATAAAATTCTCTATAGCACTAAATGCATATGAACTCCAAAAGCCCAGCTAATTACCCGCAGCAAACAGAGAAAGTGCGAATGAGTTACCCAGGAGCGCGCAAAAGCGATAAAATGTGTTCACTCTTTTCACTCTGGTCACCTCAATTTTTGTCCTAGGTCTTTCATTTTGGTATCAATGGGTTCGCAATAGAATTCTCTAGAGGAATATTAGCATATAAAATAAAAAACCTGGTCACGCTCCACCCGCCGACGAGTTGAAGACAGGCCACGCGTTAGCCGCGAGTGAGCACCCAGACGCCTTCCAGCTACACTCCCAATTCCTGCTCACAAATGTTTAGTATTTAGTATTTTAGTATATGTAGTATTATAGTTTAGTATTTTTTGTGTAGTAGTTGTACATCACATAAGCATTGTAGATAGCCATTTGCACAAAATAGATGGTCATTTTCTTCGTCCATTTGTGAGTTTTCCTTATGAAGTGATAATATTTGATCATTTGGTCAAAGTGATCAACACCTTTCATGTTTGTATTGTAGTCACAGATTGCATTCGCTTGTTGACAGTTACCAAACAGTCCCCCCAAAATCGGAAAAAAACCTGATTTTTGGCAATTATTTTAGTGGATGACGCAATGCTGCGTCATCCCCGAGATTACCGACAGTAAACTGATGACGCAATGCTGCGTCATGCCCGGACTAAAGTGTTAATTTAAGGTAGAATGTAATTGGTCAACAAATAAATCAGCCACAACTGGCAGAACTTGGTACTTTGAACTTTTTTGGTGGGGATTTTTTTCAGAATTCAAACTATTTTCTTTGACTCTTTAGGTTGTTTTGATGATTAGGGACCAGATTAGGCTTTATCACTTATATAAAGTTTACATATATATCCCCTAAATCATTATAAGTACTACCTTGAGGTAGTACTGTATTGTACTGTAGTGTACTGTATTTTTATATTTTGTGTTTTGGGAGGTTATTTTTTCTTGACTTCATTTCAATACATATTGACCTACAACTTTCACATATTCGAGTACGAATGTCAAACAATGTTTATTAAAACATGCAAGTAAAATAATGAATTAGAACTACAGTACCATAATTATTGTCGATAACTTGATCTTCAATTATCTTTATAATTAATATTTTCAACTTGGAGTGAGCATCAAAAATCCAGTTTCTGAACGATTCTCACCATTTTTACATATAGTGGGCACAGCTGTCTGTTCTACAATTCTATTTTATTGTTTTTTCATAAACCTTAAATGTTGGGAGTTATGGATTTTTTAGTCTAAATTTGGTGCATATTTCAAATGCCCTATTTTTTTTTACAGTAAACTACTGTATACTGAATCCTATAATAATAACAAAAACAAATGATGATTATATGCATACAGGGCATTAACAAATAACCTAACCAAACTGGGCAGCCACGAGGCATTCAAGCAGGCGATCTAGTGCGTTGCAACTACCTAAATATACTATGCAACGAAACAGCCGCTTGACCCAAGGTTTTCTGAAGAAGAATGGGTAAACAGGAGAAGGAGTGAGGAACCAGACACGCACGACTTTGGGCCAAAGGTGTTGTCGACCCAACGGCATCAGCGCAGGGTCGTCGATGACCCAACGGCATCAGCATAGGGTCGTTGACGACCCTACGTTGTCGTAGGTAGGGTTGATGCCCTACCTACCTCATGCTGCTTAACAACAAGCAGCATGATGGGGCAGAACAGGTAATCGTCACCCTGAAACAAGGGCAACGAATAACCTGCAAATTCCCACAAGGCGAGATGGGACTTGGTGGACACATCCAAAGTTCAACCAAGCCCCAACGGGGGCTTCCAGGGCCTGGAGGGGAATGTATTCCTACTGGGAAACCCCAAACACTGGTGCTGCCAAAGCCTGTTGTAACCTTGTATATTATCCGGGCAAATTGGCCCCTGTGAGGTGAGCAACCTCGGAGGCCCAGAGGAGGACTGCCCTACTGAACCTAGGTATCACCTAATAGGAACACTGGCACCCTCCCAACGGGCAATAAAGAAAACTAAACATTGAAATGAGAACCCCGAGGAAGCACCACAACCCAGGGGACCAGAACGAGGCATGGCCACTACAATTATGCAAGCTGTGCAGCCCAGTGCACCCCAACCAGCAACAATCACCCCTTACCCAGGACCAAACGAAAGTACCGAGAACTAAGCTGACCCCAAGGGCGAGGAAGAAGCCCAGCAACCACTACCTCTACAGGAATGGGAACCAGAAAGAATCAGGGAAGAGAACTCCGAGACCCAAGAGGTGTACTCAGAGGGCACTTAGGGAAGGGAGCCCCTCAGTACATGCAGCCCTTGGTACCAACTCCTGGCCACCGCACCAACGCACAGCAGGAACACCGCCCGGGTGAAAAGCCTGTCAGGCAACCGAGAACAGAGTAGACATCCGCGTCGTTTAGTTTTAGTCGACAGACGGTTTGGCTGCCGGCTCGGTGGGCCAGGACCCCCTCTACCCCTCCTGGGGGTAGGGAGTTGGCACAAACAAGCAGCGTGCGGTGTAAGGACATGTTGCTTATTAGTGTGTTTTCCTTGGGGAAAGTTTCTAGCCTCTGTTTAGTCTCAAGTTGCAATTTTTCTACCAGGAGGGGTCTATTTTGGAGCGCCTATCTTTTTGGGTGTTTACCCCGGTCGATGGTACTTGAATACTTTCCTACATGAGTGTTTCATAGGCCATTACTCCCTGCACCTCTCTGAGGGGACCATGTTCTGGATAGTGGTCCCTGGTAGACATGACAACTCCATATGACTGAAGCCCCATAATAATATTAGCTAATATCAGTCCAATAGCTCCATGGAGTCGACGGGGCTCCCCCACAGAAAACAAATATACAATTATGATCATTACTGAAAAGTTCTGGTTCCAGACTCTAGTCTGAAACACCAATATACTGGAAACAAAAAGACACTGTGCAGTCTAAATATAAAATGGCTAAACTGGCTTTTAAAAAAAGTCCTGCTAATACTTGTGTATATACTTATCACAATTAAGGAACAGTAATATAAAAAAATAATGGAGTTACAGTCAGTCATAACAAGCAAACTAAAGTGAGTAGACTTACCATATCCATAACAGCAAGTGATGGGAGGATACCAATAATGAGGTAGAACACAGTCTCCAACATCTTAAACCTCTCATGGAAAATTTGTTGATAGAGGATGCCCAGCACAGCAAGAACCCATATTCCCCATCTGTAAAAAGCCATCACTAATTTTGTATAAGCCTCAAAATTAACAATTTGTCCAAAATACTAAAATTAGTAAAAGAATGTAATGAAACTTTCCTGGTGCTATTTGCTAGTACATGTCCCACTAAGCCTTAAGACTGTACCATCTCTGACACCCATGCTGAACTTCTGGGAACCAGGTCCAGAGTCTGATTCTCTCTGTGATGTGAGGGCAGCACGGGGATCAGTGATCAACCCAAAAACTGAGGAAGCTGATCAGAAAGTCAGAAATGCTACGGGGTTCCTGCCATGAACCCCAACTGAGAACTGAGGTGGCAGGAACAGGGTGCCACAGGTGGAAAATGATGCTATGAAACAGATCCCAAGCTGTTATCTAGTACAGTGACAGTGGCTCGGCTTACGAATGCCCCTCTTTACGAACATTTCGGGTTATGAGCCCAATTTCTTTGTAAAATCAGAATCGGGTTACAAACTTTGCCTCGGGAAACGAGGTTTGTTGATACACGTGTGGCCAACCTTGCGCGTGGTGGTATGGCAACCGCACCTCAGTTTAACAGCACCTCCCGCCTAGTGACAATTGCGCCTGAATTCTTTGAAAAGAATTTCAGTGTTTTTCGGATTTTTAGGTATTTGAACATAATAGTTATTATTATTATATATCTCACCATGGGTCCTAAGAAAGCCAGTGGTAAGGTTCAGTCCAAGAAAACACATGTGAGAATGACTACAGAGGAAAAACAAGAGATCATTTGTAAATATGGAAATGGTACACTGACTGTTGAACTAGTTAGGCAGTACAACAAATCTATGTCAATGATATGCACTGTAATTGCTAAGAAAAAGAACATTATGAGTGCTTAAAGCATATTAACGAACACGGAACAAAGAACAGAAACACTTGAGGAAGTTGAAAAGTTTTTATTAATTCACCCATAGCTAGCTGTAGTAGGCTGTTATGTTAACCTTTTTAACACTTTCGCGCTATCTGAACGCGCCGGCGCGTCCGGTTTCGTCTAACGTAAACGCATAGTGGACATAAAGTTATGTCAACTTTTAAAATATTTGTATAAAATTCAATTTTTATCCGATTTACTTTGGGTTTGTTTTAAACTGCGCGCTATGAGGCTCTCTTTCTCACCACTAGGCTGCATGGTACAATAAGTTCATGAAAGGTGTGGATAACTTCGATCAAATGGTATTTTGTCCCAAACGGGTTGCAGGTGGGTGACTTTAGCCGTTTATACTGGTAATGCTTCCCCCATATCATGTATTATATGCATATGACTGTTTAGGGAATTTTATTCCGATCAATATACAACCAAAAATAACTGTGTGCATCAAGTATAAACTTGACAAACATAACAAAAGTAAAAACATTTCGTGTGTGTTTGACGCTCACTGATATGTTCCAGCGTTGTTTTATATTTGGCGCTATTCTAACTTACGCTTTGTTGATATTTTTTACCTATGGGCACATAGAACATTCTATTGCGAACACATTGACGCAAAAATGAATGACGTACATAGAAAATTAATGTCATGAGAGTGAAATAAGTATAAACTTTCAAAGCGCCGTGCGTCGTCCCGTCACCGATACCGGGTAACAATTTCACCAGTTCCCACACTCTTGCGGGCGGGCCGCAATCATTATTCTACGCTTATATTCATATCACCGTGTTGGGAATTTCATTGCGAATCCATTGATACCAAATTAACGCTGTAGAACAAGTGTGGAGGTGATTACAATCCCAAGAGTAAAAACATTTTGTTGCTGATGGGCGCTCACGGCGAGTCATCTTCGTAGTTATTTATTTGGTGCTGGTATCCCTATACGTTTCGTGACTTTTTTTACTGATGTTCTTCTAGAGAATTTTATTGCGAACACGTTGGTACCAAAATGAAATACGTAGCATGAGAACTAAGGTCAGAAGAGTAAAAAGAGAATACACATTTTTGTTTTTACGCTTAAGCGATAAAAACGCAGCGCGCACATTCGGTTGGCTGAGTGACCTTTGCGGAGAGCGCGAAAGTGTTAATGACAATGTGATGTCTCACTTCAGACAAGTGTTACAATGTAGGGAAAAACAAATGTCACTAGACAGGCTTTTAGTGAGAAAAACAAGCAGTGAGCCACAAGCAGGTCCTAGCGGTATGCAGGCAAAACGTGCATGAGTGTGTACCCCAGAGAAGTCATCATTGCCTGATGTTATAATGGAAAGGGCCTTTCCCTTCCAAACACTAACACCTTTCCTCCCCCTCCTCCTCACCATCTTCCATACACCAACAAGAGTCAACAATAAAGGCAAGCAATAATTTGTAAATACTTTATTACTAAAGATTTGGGTGAATTAGGTATAAAATTTACTTTGAAGTGAATTTTATGGGAGCAGGGAACAGATTAATTCAATTTACATTACAGTGGCACCTCGACTTACGATAATTTTGAGTTACGATCTAAATTTGATCGAAAAGTGCGACTTGACTTACGATAGTGTCGTCGAGTAACGATATTTGTTGGTACACGTTTGGGTCGACTGAGCGCATGGTTCCCGGTCACGCGGGCCAACCTGCCTCAGTTTACTAGAGCTGCCTGCTTAGTGACGATCACGCCTATAAGAAATTCCGTTTTAGTGGCGATTTTTTTTAACATAAAACTGATTATATCACGCCATGGGTCGCAGAAAGTCAGTGGTAAGGTTCAACCTAAGAAAATAGTTATGAGTTGAGGCAGTAGAGGATATCCCTTCTTCATTAAGAAGTATGGGAAGAACTGCAAAGTTTAGTTGAAAAAACTCACCCAGATAAAGCTGAAGCAGGCCGTGGCATCGACCTTTTAAATGACAATGTGATGTCTTACTACAGACAAGTGTTAAAATGTAGGGAAAAACAAGTGTTTTTAAGACAGATTCTTAGTAAGACAAACAAGCAGTGAGGCACAAGCAGGTCCTATTGGTATGCAGGCAAAACATGCTAGAGAGTGTATCCCAGAAAAGTCATCACTGCCTGATGTTATAATGGAAGGGGACTCCCCTTCCAAACAGTAACACCTCTACTCCTCCCCCTGCATCACCATCTTCCATATGCCATCAAGAGTCTTCCATAAAGGTAAATAAACATTTGTACTGTATTGAAGTTTGAGAACAAAACTGTATTCAGTATAAAATGTATTTATAAGTTAATATTTTGGAGGGTGGGGGAACGGATTAATTCAATTCCCTTTATTTCTTATGGGAAAAATCGCTTCAACTTACGATCCGTCTCTGGGAACGGATTACCATCGTAAGTCGATGCCCCACTGTATTTCTTATGGGAAAATTCATTTCGGTTTACAAATTTTCGGCTTACGAACCGTCTCTGGGAACGGATTAAATTTGTAAGCTGAGGTACCACTGTACTCTCTGCAGGCAACCACTGTTATAGTGGCTTATCCACAGGCCCATGATCTCCAGAGGTGAAAGTTTCAGGCTCAGTCTTTGTGGTGGTGTTTACTAGTGACGCAGAGCTCTTTTATCTTTATCGTGATTTTATCTTATAGTGATTCTTTTATCTTTCCCTTGCTCACATGGGGCTCTCTGGGGAAAGGAGAAGGCCCACATATACTGTAAATACATCCCACCACCCCCCAACCCTTAACACTTTTGTTACTCCTCAGTCAATAAAACATGTATTTGAGCATTAATATTTGATGCACTCCCCCGTTTTCAGCCACATTTGTAGCACATATACTTCACGTACCAAATTATTTAAGAATATAATACAAAAAGTTAATACAGTAATATAGCATGAGTGGGAGCCAGACATGCTTCGGAGAAAATGACATCAGCAATTATTATTTATAAATGCTAATCCACTATAATCTGTGTTGTTAAAATTCACCTGTGCACTTCTAAAACTCTATATTATGACCTTATCGATAAACCAGCAAATCCATGTTCCCTGAATAAATCGAGGGCTGCCTGTTAAAAACTGGTCTCAGTTTTTCTTGGACAACATTTTAAAATTGCATTAATATATATTGTTAAAATTTGTTAACAGATAGCCTGATTAGCTATCCAAACAAAACTTTTTGTTACATGAGAGAAAATAAAACAAACCTGAGATGAAAAGTCCAAGAGTCTTGAGGTAGTGGGCGGAGCAGCAGCCAGGGTGTATATGATGTTGCAATGAACACGTAAATCATTGCTCGATCACCGCGGTGGAGAACCTCCTTAAGTTTCCTGGAACAACAGCGGTGATAAATTTCTCAATGAATTGGTAAATCTACAGCCACAAAATTATGTGAAATTGTTCAGATACATTCTTTGCTAATTTAAGTCAAGTACAGTATATTAAATATAGCTTGAAGTGTACTGAAACACCTCTTTTCTGGGTGGTTCTGCAGTAGCATTCATTGCTTTTGGTAGGGACTAACTACCTGTTGAAGATACTGAGGATTAGTATCCCTGTGGCCCAGTCTCTGACCATGCCTCCTGGTTGCTGGTCTGATCAACCAGGCTGTTCAATGCAGTTGCTCGTAGCTTGATGTATGAGTCATATTCTGGTTGATCAGGTATCATTTTTTAAGGGGCTTGTTGAGTTCTCTTTTGAACACTGTGATAGGTTGGCCAATTATGTGTAGAGGGAGAGTTTTTAAAAATCTTGGGCCCTTGATGTTGACAGTTCTTTCTTGGCCTACCTATTGCACCTCTGCTTTTCAACGAGGCTATTTTGCACATCCTGCCATGTCTCCTGGTTTCATGTGGAGTTATTTCTGTGTGCAGATTTGGAACCACTCCCTCTAATATTTTCCAAGTTAAAATTATTATGTATTGCTCTCATCTGCACTCTGCAGAACACAAATTTTAAAATTTTTAGGAAGTCCCAATAATTTAGATTTTTTATTGAGTGGATTCAGGCAGTAAAAGACCGTTGCATGTTCTCCAGGTTGGCAATTTCTCCATCTTTGAATGGGACTGTTAGCAAGCACCATTAATACTCTCCACCCTAGAGAGTATCAACACTTTCACGTCCTAATGACGCATTATGCGACATAAAACAAAAACAAGCATAGTGGGTGATGACGCAAATGGCATCATGCATTAAATTTTGCATAGTCTTAATATTAAGTATAAACATTATGAGTGAAAGAGTTTAACATTGGGTTGTGTGCCCACCTGGAATGCTCGGCCTACCTTCCGGTGTGATTTGGGTGCCCCGCCGGGCATGTGATACTAGTAGTGCTAATATCTTAAAAAAGAATTACTGGTATGGCATCTCTTGTTTAAAAGGTCTTGTTATCCATCCTGACTTTTATCTTACTGTTGCGACAGCTACTTTATTGTGTTCTTTAAAAAAACTGTAAGGTCTTCTGACAAGATTACTCCCAAATCTTTTATATTGCTTTTTCTTTCAACACTGTGGATCGACTGCCATGTGTAATTTTCATTTTGATATTTTACTTTTTCCATAGGGCAGCAGCTAGAATTTATCTTCATTTAACATCATGTTATTTTCCGTGGCCCATTAATTGACTTGATTAACATCAGAATAAAGGTTTGCTGTGTCCTCTATAATGTCTACTCTCATGAAAATCCTACAGTCATCTGCAAAGGATGATACAGTACTATAGTTTGTATTCTTGTCTATGTCTGATATGTGTATGAGAAGGAGTACCAGAGCAAGCACAGTACTTTGGGGGACTGAGCTTTTCACAGTGGATGATCCAAATTTTGTCTTGTTGACAATTACACTCTAGGTTCTGTTTGATAGAAATTAAAGATCCATCTCCCTGCTTTGGCCATACCAATTCCTTGCATGCACATTTTTGAGCAATAACACCATGGCCACATTTGTTGAAAGCTTTTGCAAAACCTCTGTATATGACAAGCATTTTGCTTGTCTTCCATGGCATCTAAGGCCATGTCATATTGGTCTAGCAATTGAGAGGGGCTGGAGTGCCCTGTTCTGAACCCATTTTGCCCAGAGTTATGTAAACATCTTGATTCCATGTGGTTTGTGATCTTACGTCTTAGACCTTTCAAAGATTTTTTAGGGGAGGGGAGGGCTATAATTTTTTGCATCTGCTTTACTACCTTTGTGGAGCTATGTGATCTCCAGTTTTCACAATGTCAGGGATAACACCAGTATCTAGGCTCAACTTGTGACTGCACAGGTCTGTGATCCCATGCTTATCTGAACTTTGATTAGGTTGTGATCCAAGTAACACACATTTGTAATCATTATGTTCTTAATCAATTCATCACTATTTGTAAAAATATGGTTTAGGGTGTTGTCTTTTCTGGTAGGTTCTACTATTTGCTAGTTTAAGACAAATCTGTCACACATATGCAAAAAGCAATTTGTAATTACTCAAGTGATAACAAATGGCCACGCTGACCTTATTTGTGTGTGACTGTTTATTTTGACTGCTTCCTGCATGTCAGTCAAAATTGCATTTGCCACAATTTCCATTTTAGGTGCCTAAGTTGAAATCATCAAAGAAGGTGGTTTTTTGGGTAGGGTTTGAGGTTTTCTGAGCAGTATTCTATTTTCATAAGTTGGTTTTAATCCTTAGACCGCGCATATTACCGCATATATTGGGGGCCTGGTGGCGAAAAATATTTGAATTGTGTAAAAATAACTTAAAAATGTTAAACAAATCTCCAACTTATTGGCCAGTGTCGTGAAACTTTCATCAAGATATTTTCAGAAATTAATTTTAGACGAATTTTTAAAAAATAATAACGTTTTGTTGATAAGGAGAACAGTTCCTAATAACTGGAACTGAAGGATTATGCAGTAATAAAGAGATGCAAGCACCTGTCCGACACTCAAAGAGGAAGAAGAATAGTAGTAAGAAGTGTCCACAAAGTGGATACTGTATGCAGTTGGTGCCTTTATATCATTGCTGAGTAATACATAATAACACAAATAATAATGAATAACTATGTTAATATGCTCTATTTTCTTATATATCATATAAATACATTGTCTAATGTTAATATATGTTACTTTCATCAATGTCCCAAAAATATTTTTGTTAGGGAATTTTCTGGGGGAAGCCCCTACGGCTTCCCGGAGTTTACTAGGCTGATATGCTAATGTCAGACTTTGCCATCAGTCATGTGTATGGAGTTCTTATGGGCCTACCGGGGACCACGAGCCAGAACCTGGCCCGCTCCCCCTAGAGGCAAGGGGAGCAATGGCCTATAGAAACCTCCGTGTGGTTGGAAGCATTCTATGTCTGCCATCGACCGGGTCAGGCACCCAGAAAGGTAAGCATTCCAAAACAAACCCCTATTCTGGTGAAAATTGCAACCAAAACCCGAACGAGTGGATAGAACTCCCCAAACAAAGACTAGCAAACTAGTATAACGTCACCCGTCACCGCGCCGCTGTCTGCGCAGCTCCCCCCTCCCCGGGAGGGGGAAGGGGAAGCCCCATACCTTCCACGCCGGCTATCCACACCCCAGTTCTTGAGGCTGATGCTATCGGCTCGGTTGTGTGCTCTGGCTCCAGAAATTTTGCGGCGCTGTGCCTAGTGTGTGGCGGCTGTTCTCCAGGGGTGAGAGAGCCAGGAGTTACTCTTCAGTACTCGGGCTGCATGCGTCTAGGGTTTCCTTCCCTAGGTGCCCTGTATGTACTGCCCTTAGAGCTTGGGGTTGCCTTCCACAAGTTTCTCGGGGTCTGACTCTGTAGGTCCGTTTAACTGCTCGGTTTTTCGGCCGCCCTTTGGGTCCTTGGGTGTTTTGTCTCCCTCGATTACCTTAGGGTAGGAGGCAGTTTTGCACTGGTAAGGGGCGCAGGGTGCTGCACAGCTTGCTGTCACCAATCACAGCGGCCGGCTCTGTTCCTTGGGGTAAGCTGTCTTCTTGCGGAGTTTTGTTTTTGTTTTTCTTTTTGCCTTGGTTGGAGGTTCTGCCCTACTTGCCACTGGTGTTTGGCCCCGTCCTGATATTTGGTGGTGACCCCTGCTAGGTCCCCATGAGTGTACACGTCCTTGGGGTTCAGCTGTAGACAGTTTGTTTGGTAGTTTGGGGCACTGGTTAGCAGAACCCTGCCTGGGTTTACCTGAGCACGAGTCCTCTTATAGTAAACACTCAGGACCCTGGGAATTCCCTAGGGGACGCGTTGGTCCGATGGATGCGACCCCAGGGTTCCCCATAGCTTCATGCGAGTTTGAGGGTTGTTCGGTCCCGTTGTCTCAGGGCGACCCTCACTGTTTTTGCCTCCGTCACGCAGCCTGTTGGGTCAGTGCCACTTTCGACTCTGAGTCGAAGGCTATCAGTTTGTTTGTCTGCAGCCTTCTCCTTTTCTGGCAAAGAATGAGACCTGGGGATGTTGGTACTTGGTTGGTTAGGCCGGGGGTGCATCATGTTTTGTGTCCGGTTGCGGCTCTCCGCCGGTATTTGCGAGCCACGGCTTCTGTGTCCGTGTTTCCCTTCTTCCCTGATCGAGGGTGCAAGTCGCCCATGTAGTCCGCAGGATTATTAAGGCTATCCAGCCTGCTGTCTATCCCCGGGCCCATGACGTTCCCAAGTTTGCAGCTCTTGCTGTCATTTTTGGGAATGTGTCTTGGGCTGACATTCGGGCGCGTGGATTTTGGTGGTCGAACAGGGTCCTGGCTGCTCGTTACCTTGTTAACGTCTCTGGGCACTGTCGGGCTTGTGTCGTTTTGGGTTGGCAGATGCAGCCAGTTGTCTCTACTTCAGGTTGAGGAGTGAGCAGCAACAGCCTCCCGGGTAAGTCCCTCTACTTTCCTCTGTGGGTAGTTAGCTCCAGGGAGCCGTATGGCTCCCCCCCCCTGAAAACCAGCATTGAATGTAATGAAACCATTTTCTGGGTGAGACCCAGAGGCTCCCTGGCATCCCTCCCTCCCGCCGATCGGTGTTTTTTTTTGCGAGTTTTGACATCCAGCCTCAGAACTGGGGTGTGGATAGCCGGCGCGGAAGGTGTGGGGCTCCCCCTACCCCCTCCCAGGGAGGAGGGAGCTGCGCGGACAGCGGCGTGGTGACAGGTGATGTCATACTAGTTTGCTAGTTTTTGTTTGGAGAGTTCTATCCACTTGTTCAGCTTTTGGTTGCAATTTTCACCAGAATAGGGGTTTGTTTTGGGATGCTTACCTTTTTTGGTGCCTGACCCGGTCGATGGCAGACATAGAATGCTTCCAACCACACGGGGGTTTCTATAGGCCATTGTTACCCTTGCCTCTCTAGAGGGTGCCAGGTTCTGGCCGTGG